TAACACTAGTACTATGGACAATAACGCCATCTCTTAGATAAAAACCGAACGAACTTTTTACTTGACCTAATATATTGACATCGACTTTTGCGGATCACATAGCCCTAGTATGCCGTTATAAATGTCCCGTCAGAGTGTCAAGGGTGCTAGAGGAGCATGTAGCTTTAGTCGAAGAATGGCTCGATAACTGGCGAATAAATGTAAAGTATTAAATGAATAATATATAAGTACCACAAGCAAATGATGTAAATTATCTTGGCATTTACTTGTACAGAAGGCTGATTTGGAGTAAACATATCTCCAACAAAATAACTAGCAAGAAAATAAGAGCAGCAAATTTCAAAACTGTCTTTTAAATAAAAATTCAATACTTAACCGTGAAAACAAAGTTTTGTTATAAATGCGGAATAAAGAAGACTTGGATGTATGGTATTCAACTGGAAGGTACGACCTGTGCATGCAACATTGATATAATCCAGAGGTTCCAGTCAAAAATCCTTTGAACTTTAACAGGTTCACTATGGTGCATTCAATATTCACAGAGATCTTGGTATTTCTATGGTAAAGAAAGAGCAAGAGGACAGCAGAAAGAATCAAACCTGATTTAAAAGCAAAGATCTGCTCAGTTTAAGAGAAGCTAAAAAAATTTTGTTGAGAAAGGGATAAGATATATATGGCATGTAAATATAATGTGGGTCATACTTCAGAGCTCTGGCATTAAACGCAGCAGTACATTCCGTCTTATTCCTCTGGAACATTTTTTATATGTAATTTTTTTTTCTGTGTTTGATAATTAGTTTTTTTTTCCGGGTAATTCTAAATTTTTTGCTACCCGTATTTGTATAACACTAGAAGTACAGCAACACTCGGGCGGGTCGTGTTCGATATCGCTTATGGTTTTTACCAATACGAGATTCGTAGAGAGTTGAGGCCACTTAGCAATGACATAGTTAATTCATTGTATTCCAGATTTATCGATTTAAAATTAATCATAATCTATGAAATATCGATGGTGGTGCTCGTATGTTTAGCTCTGTTGATGCGAGATTAAAACAAATTTTCAAAACAGACAGCCCCTTCGGTGGTATACCGATCATAGTGTTTGGTGATTTGAAGCAACTCTCACTTGTTGGAGATAGGTGGATATTCTCTCCTAATCCCAATGATGCATACATCACTTTAGTTGGTTCCCCTTTGTGGGAGTTATTTAAATATTTTGAATTAACAGAAATAATGAGACAACGGGAGGACCAGGCCTTTGCAGTTGCATTAAACCATATGGCATCTGGTACTATGACAAATGAGGACTTATCACTCCCTGAAACTCGGGTAGTTAATTTCGAAGAAGTTCCCGATGATGCCATACATTTATTTTGGTCCAATGAAGAGACAAATAATTTCAATGCCCTTAAGCTCAGTCAAGTCCCAACTGAAGCTATCCTTTGAACTGCAAAAGACTCAGTTAAAGAAATTTGTATAAGTGAAAATGAGAATATTAAACTTTTCAAAACTTCTGAAACGCAGGGACTGCCCTATGAATTGACATTACAGTGAATGGGATGGCTTAATTAATGGGACAGCTGGACAACTTATGCAAATTGATTTTCATTGTTCTTTTCCAACAATTCTGTGGATTAAATTTTTCGAACGTTCTGATGGTTTGATAGCACGATCAAAAAAGCCTCATCCTTTAGAAAGTTCTTGGACACCAATTGAAAAAGTTCTAAAATCTTTTCAATATAAAAGAAATGAACAAATTTCAATTGAAAGATATCAGTTGTTCCGGCTGAGGGAATAACTATTCATAAGGTCCAGGGCGCCGCATATAATAAAGTTGTAGTTCATACTCGACCCAGAATGCCTAGAGCTTCAATATATGTCACTTGTAGTCGAGCTACTACTGCAGAAGGTCTATTCATCATAGAAAATTTTATTCCTCCTAACAAATTTTCTGAATCGGATCCTGTATTTAGGGAACTGAGGGAATTGAACACAAATAAAGCTCTGACAACAAGTTTCAATTTTATGATTTCCCGAACATCAGGACATCAAATTTTATTCCATATTGTTCAGAGTCTTCACGCTCACATTAATGATATAAAAAGCGACTGTTTGATGCTATCTTCAGATATTTTATGTGTTGTAGAAACTAGGAGTTATACTTGCGAAAGTTTTGATATACCAGGATTTACTCCAATTAACGAGCTGATGATAGATAGCACGGAAACAAGCAACAGAAATAAACGGGGCATTATAATATATGTCAAGCATAGTATTGCTTGCTCTATAGAATCAAAGGCTGTAAAGAAAATTTATTCAGGCTGCATATGTTTCAATATTAATATTCTGGTTCTATATAGAAATTCAGCTTTATCTGTCAGACATTTAATTGTAGAACTTCAGGAAGTCCTTACTTCTGAGTTAGGCAATCAAAATGTGCTAATTGTTGGAAATTTTAACATTTGTTTAATGTCTACAGGGACTGCAATAAGAAATCTGCTCCAAGAAAAAAACTTTAGTTCCCTGCTTGGTGCAGAATATTCAACTACACCTGCCGGTACACAAATTGATTGGGCATTTTCAAACATGGATCCTTCCCGTGTAAATGCAATTACTTTTGAGACAGTACACACTATCATGACAGTATTTGTGTCTCTATTTCGAACTAAAGTTTTCAGACTTAGCGCAATAGTTCTTAATTTTTTTTTTTAAATATAATCGAATTAGAATGGTATAGCAATTTTGATAGTAGTTTTTAAAGCAATTTTAAGAAAAATATGTAAATAATCTAATTAGGAAATTTTAAATTATATTTATATTTTGTATAATTATATAAGACATTATTGTATACATAAATGATAGAAATTAATAAATTATTAAATTAAATAATAGTAAAGAAATATAATTTTGTTATATGTATTATATAAGAATTTCTATAAAAATGTTAGGTTTTAAATGTTAATTATGTTTAATATCGTAAATATGATATAAAATTAATATAAATATATATTATTGATTATTATACTCATACTTTTCAATACTGTTGTAATGCATTCTATATAAAATCAATTATAATCGTATAAAAAACACAAGAACGATTTCTCATAACAAGTTGCTCTAATTATTTTCACTGTGAATGTAAATAACTAAGGCAACAGTTCCTACTTCTAATTATTAAAACTTTGCTAGAATTTTATACGGTTCGGTTACATCCGAACTTAGCCCTTCCATACTTGTTATGGATACTTCTATGTTAATGGATTTGGGGTTTTGAGGTACTTAACAGAAAACCTAAACGCCGTTACAATGACGAAATTGTATAAAAGAGGTTAACTGTTCTGAAGGTTCTGTGTTCAGTGTTCAGTGGAACCAGAAAACCATATGGTTACTTTAGATTGGCTATCGCCGTTATCAGCCGCCAATCGTATAGGGAATGTTTGGGCTTTAATGAGAGTCAAAATATCAAGAAAACATTTAACGTCAACAAAAAAATATTATTCGGACTTGGATATAATTGAGAACAGCCAAGAATGCAAATTGTGTTTTGGATCATTGTAATGATAAAACTGCTAGTCAACACCGAGAGAAAGTTTGTCCACGCTTTCAGTGGAAATGGCTCTTAATATAATATATCAAGATAAGCGTTTTAATTTATTAGTCATTTAATAGAATACAACGATGCGGGTCCAACAACTGAAAATGAGCCCCATATCATAACTGATGCTCCGCCATGTTTGACATTTGGCTTTAGGTTCTCAGTTCTACCTCCTCAAAGGGGTTTTCGATCGGACGAATCTTATATTTACTGTCGTCAGTAAACAAATTGTTTTTCCGAATGGAAAATCTTTACTTCAGCGGAATTTGATGAGCTTTTCCACCATTTAAATTAACCTCATGAAGTACATTCCTTATAGTTGATGCTCTGAAATTTTTTCCCTAACTTAATTTCAGCCATGACTGCGAACTTTGGAGTACTTAGAAATGGATTTTCTTCTACTTTTAGCTCCAAAAGCGTTTTTCTGCTTTAGAAAATATCTTATAGTGAACAGTTTTCGCATTGTTTTTATCTTGTTTGTGGATTTTAAAACCCTTTTTATATCGTGAACGATTGAATGATTCCTATTCAAGATCTCGACGATTTAGAACTGTCTAGGAAAGTCCTGTTAGTCACAGAAGTATGTATATTATTACATTTATTTAAAAATTAATTCCTACTTTCCTAGTTTGGCTTGCGGAATTTTTTCGTGCCTAAATATCTTTTTTATTAACGTACAAAATTTCAAATGGCTTATTAATTGGCTTCAAAAAAGTAATGATAACAGTATAGAAAGCAGGTTTTACCCCTTTAAGCCTAAATTATTTTGTACGAAAAAAACTTTCTACAATGGTGTCCAAGTTTGGCTTGGTGAACGTGGAAATCAGCTTTCCTAACTGTGCTATGAAATGCCGATCATTGATGTGTACTGATTTCCATGTAGTGATTGTTGTAGCGGTTATCCAGACCCTGTTTGGGTAACAAGGCGCAAATCAGTTGTCATCACAATCATCTAACGGGAGGCCCAGGCAACGTATTGTTTCAAAGGGGCCGGATCCATTTGCATGTTTGTCTTTTTTCTTTGTTTTTGTCTATGATGGTTTTGACTATGCATTCCTTTATTTGTTAAGTTGTTTTCATTTAATTTAGGGTTGTTTAGTATGTCAGGGTCAATTCTGGATAAGTAGGAGTCACGTACTGTCCTTACTCTTTGTTTTAATGTTTCAGGAGCCTGCTGTTATAACGTATTTGCACTTGTGTTGTGATCTGATTTTACTTGTTTACAGTATTGTGTTTTCAGCAACACGCCTTTGTTTTCTTTAGTTTATTGTGTAAAAAAATAAATTTTTTTTTTTAAATTTGTCTTTATTTACTGGTTCTTTGTTAGTAATGTACTGAATAAAGACATATTACAATATTTTTGAAACCAGCAACAAAAGTATAATATTATACCATTACTTTTTAGGGTTCTACAACTTATGAGTCAATATATGAACCAATAATTCCTCGCCCTGCTAGTCGACTCTCATCCCATTCCAACAACTTGAATTACGTACAATATGTCAACGGTCCACAATTAAATGCAAGTGAATGCGCAGGAAACTTATCAATTATTGGATCCATTAGTACTAGTGGATGTAGCACGCCGACTTATCCGAGTCCAAGAAACAATCCATTGCAAAGCAAAGAGACAGAAGTTAATGCGCTTACAGACTTTTTGGTAAAATCTCTTGATACTGGGACTGGTGTTGAAAACTATGGTAAGTTAAATTATCTGCAAACGATCGGGAATTTTTTTAGGGAATAACTCAATTCTTTTATCATATAAATACGCTATATCAGAACAGATTTTGTTTATTACTATCATTTATATCTTCTGCATCGAAAAGGTTGTATAGGGTGTTTTTTTTTCTTGAGGTATAGAACTTTAAGTGGCATTACTGTTCAAGATGGCAACCGATTTAACAGCTGTCAAGTGATTTATTCTTAGTTTGGGATTGCAATTCATCATGCATATGTTTTTGGGCTGGTGGAATCATTGGTCCGTACTTCTTCAAAAACGATGATGGCCAGAACGTTGCAGTCTATGGTGATCGGTATAGAGCCATGATTACTAAATTTTTCTTTCCTGAATTGAACAACCATGATGTCCACTAGCTGTGGTTCCAACAAGACGGCGCAACATATCACACAGCTCGTGCTGCAATCGATTTATTGAAAGACACATTTAGTGACCGCCTAATTTCACGTGGACCTGTGAATTGGGCTCCAAGATCTTGTGATTTAACACCGCTAGACGACTTTCTGTAGGGTTATGTAAAGTCATTGGTCTATGCGCATAAGCCACAAACGCTTAACCATTTGGAAGACAACATTCGCAGTGTTATTGCCGATATACGGCCACAAATGTTGGAAAAAGTCATCGAAAATTGGACGTTCAGAATAGACTACAGCCGAGCCAGTCGTGGCGGTCATATGACAGAAATAAATTAAAAATATAATGTCACAAGATTATATTTTGGATAAATAAAATTCATGTTAAACGAATAATCCATCGTTGTTTTATTGCAATTTAAAGTTCTAAACCTCTAAAAAACACCCGATATATTGTCCGCCGCTATACATTGTTTATAACGCTAAAGATAAAGTTAAGAAGATTGCTGTCTCTACTAAATATATGCAAATAAGAAAAACCTTTCTTAGCAGATATTAAAACTTTTCTATTGAGCATGGCGACTTCCAAAATTGTCGAAGATAAACTGTTATTTCAAAAATTTCCAGATCTGCTGAAATGAAAATACGCCGTTGGCAGGCAGAGGGTCACTTATAAGGGGGTTTTCAATAAGAATTTCATAAAACAACGCACCAATTGTTCAGGAATTGCAAATGTGTTTTATTTAGTGTGAAGTACAATCGATACAATTAAGTTCTGAATATAACATCATTCAAATTGCCTCCACGACTTCTTTTGCAGGAACGAATTTGAAGAACCCCAAATTCGAATACTTTTTCCACTAAATCAAGTCGTACGTCATGAATAGCACGTTTAATATTTACTTTTAAAGTTTGAAGAGAGTCTGGTTTATTGCGAAATACCAATGACTTCAAATAACCCCACAAGAAGTAGTCTAATGGTGTTAAATCAGAACTTCTTGGAGGCAATTTAATGGCTTTCAAATTATCGAATCTCCAAATTTTTCTCGCAGTTCGGTACGTGCTGTGGGGCACGTCGCCCTGTCTTGTTAGAAGCATATGTTGTGAAGATCAACTTCTTCCAATTGCGGCCATAAAAAGTTGGTTATTATCGATGTATACCGCTTTCTATTGACAGCGATGGTGTCACCAGCTTCATTTCGGAAGAAGTACGAACCGATGATTCCACCAGACCAAAAACCACACCAAACTGTCGATTTAGGTGAATGTAATGGTTGTTCATGAATAATCTTCGCACCTTCGCGAGCACATGTCGACGATTATTACGACCAAAAATTGACAAAAACGCACAAAAATTTGCAATTGGAGAACGATTATTTTGATAATAAAATTAAATAGTTTGTAATTTCTTTTCTTGCGAATATAAATACAATGAAGAAAAATTACAGATCATGACGTATTAAAAATGGCCGAAACGACACTTAAAAGTCATATCATCCCTATTGGAAAACTCGATAGTATTGGTCTACTCCCTTTGGGCCGCTTCAAGCTCACCAAGTTGAAGAAACTATAAATTATGGTAGTGTTAGTTTAAAGATATGATGCTGTATTACATTATTGACAGGAATGCGAAACACTATGTAAAAACAAGTAAGGAAGGGCTAAGTTCGGATGTAACCGAACATTTTATACTCTCGCAAAGTCAAACTCGTTTGAGATTACTTTGTAGATTGACTGATATTTTCGGTAGAAGGTCAACTATAGCCACTGGGGTCCACATATTTAGTACTCAGGGGTTTGAACAGTTTTGGTTCGATTTAGACAATTTTTGGCCGCAAGGTGGCATACTTTAATTGCATTATTCACGCAAAGTTTTACCCCGATATAATCATTGTTACCTGATTTGCATAGTGGAAAGCGAAAGAATCAGATGGAATTGAAAATGGTGTTACATGGGAAGTAAGCGTGGTTGTAGTCCGATTTCGCCCATTTTCGCACTATGACATAGAAACATGAAAAGAACGTTATGCACCGAATTTGGTTGAAATCGGTTAAGCAGATCTCAAGATATGGGTTTTCACCTAAAAGTGTGCTGTGCCACGCCCACTGACTAATTTTGAACGCGGTTCCTATAAAGTCATCACATACCATCCCTGAGATAAAATTTAATGTCTCTGGCGTGTTTAGTGCTTGATTTATCGCGCTTTTAGTAGTTTTTAACAGTACCGTTATATGGGAGTGGGCGGAGTTGCCGCCGATTTCAACTATTTTCACACCGTCATAGAAGTGCTAAAAACATTTGCTTCTAGTGAATTTTGTTATTATAGCATTAACGGGAGATATGCACATTAAACCTATTAGAGGCGGGACCACGCCCACTTTTTAAAAAAAAAGTTTTAACTGCAGATGCCCCTCCCTAATGTGATCCTGTGTACCAAATAACAGTCTTATCTTATTGCGGAGCTTAGTTAGGCAAGTTATTTGTTTTGATTAATGGCGTTTTGTGGGCGTGGCAGTGGTCCGATTACGCCCATCTGCAATACCAACCGTCCACGGTACCAAGAAACATGTCTACCAAGTTTCATAAAGATATCTCATTTTAGTTAGAGCTTGCACGGACGGACGGACGGACAGACAGTCACCCGGATTTCAACTCGTCTCTTCATCCTTCATCCTTCATATCTAACTCGATTAGTTTAGGTGATACAAACAACCATTAGGTGAACAAAACTATTATACTCTGTAGCAACAGTTGCGAGAGTATAAAAAGCGGGATCATACGCATATGGCTGTTTAAATATTCCATATATTATACTTTAAAGCCAAAGCCAGAGATAAAGAGATGCTTCATGTTATTAGAAGTGAAAGCGTGAATCACCTCCTTAACTTTGACAGTTGACTGGATTCAGGAGATTTTGACGTTTGCAATTGGAAAATAAGGGACGGCAGATTGAAACTCTACTAAAAAATACGTGAACGGAGAGATTGGTTGGCGAGATCACAAACAAAATTTTAAAGCAATGAAAATTAAAGCAAACGAAATTGAAATGTATATAATGTAATCTTTGTGATGTCATGGTTCGTAGTATTAATTTGCAATTGATAGTGATGAAAAACATTTTAAATTAGAGCTTATGATATATATATAGATAGATTGAAAATGAGGTATGCACCGTGACCAGGTTTTATTGTGCACTCCTCTAAGTCACAACGACTCACTTAGCCCCAGCACATTGATGAATACGAATATATTGCTAGGTGCTAATGCGGCGATGTGAACTCTATTCGGAAACATGGATCCAAGGTCTATTAGCTGGTGTCCTGGGTTTCCGGCTCCATGTCGCAGAACCGGCAGTTTTCACAAGAGGTTAGACCCATGTTTTACAGATGCTCTTGAGCTTGCAATGGCCGGTATAAACGCGACAAGTAGCCGGAATTTATTCCTTGGAAGATTGATTACATTTGAAGTTGATGAGGTCGTAACCACTCGTTAGCAACCTGGCATGGCGCATGCTTTATAGTTGTTGCCAATTTCACTTGCTGCCTACTCTTCCTCCTTACGGCAGCATCCTTAATGGTATGAGGACTAACCGCGATGTACGGTTCCGGTCACCCATTCTGGTGGATGCTGCAGAGCGGGCCAGCTCGTCAGTCAGTTCATTCCCGGCTATACCCCTGCGACCAGGCACAGTTGCAATTTGATAGGCTGTTCAGCCGTTCACAATAGATCTTATACGTTTAATTCATTTTATTAAGTGTTGAAAGTTTACAAATCAGTTGCTTTTTTATATACTTGTATCACAAAATCACCAAAAATTATTTAAATATTTTCTCCATATGTTAAACGGATATACTATAAAAATTTTAATCCTAATAAATGTTGGATGTTTAATTTAAATTCGAAAATTATTATTTTGACTGATCTAGCTACAGTGCAAAGTGTTATAAAAACGTTAATTTTGAGGCGTTCTCGCACTGGAATAAATTGGGCATACCTTTATCGCTGGCCATAACGTTTTATGACATGGTTGTGCTACGTGATCCGCTAGTTAATTTTACGCATGTTAAATGATAATTTTGCTGCACCGAGTTGTGCTTTCTTTATTTATATTTTAAGACTTACTTATTACACAGATCTTAATGACGTTTATACTAAAATGTGCGTACTTATTACTGGTGATAGTTTACAATATCTTAATGTGTGTGTGTGTACTTATTACTAGTTGAGTTTACCAGATCATATTCATAAATCATATTATATACTATATGTGTATGAACTTATGTACAAGTTGGATAGTGAATTTCTATTGTTAAAATGTTTGTCGTTGCATTTCTCTATAATGCATGTTGTTAGAACATCTGATGGTTATCTGCTGCTGATAATTCTCGTACATATGTACGTTACGATGAATTTTTTTAACCTGCCGACAGATATAGGTTGTGTTCGAAGCATTTTGTTTTGTTTACTGCACAAAAAGACGTGTTAATACATTTGGGTGCGAGACTTTGATAATGTACGAGGATATGTTCCTCGCTCGTTTTGCTTTCAGGAAACTCTTAATCTATTGCAAATATTTGTAGAAGCGATAAATAAAGGCGAATTTTGTGTAATTATTTTTACACCCAGATAACTGTTTATTTATAACGTTTATTAATAACGCTCTGGGTCCGGTCACTAGACCCTGCGTTTTACTTTTGAGAAATACTTTAGTCTATGATTTAAATTTCACCAGCTAAATATGTAATTTTTGTATTTCTCTAGTGTTTTTGTAGTAGTTTTTCATTTTGTTAG